ATGAAAAGTTTAAGAAGGGCTTTGCCTCCCCCTGGTGGTTAAACAAAGGCAAATGTGCAGATACAGACAGCTACTGTTTGTTGAACGACCTAGTGTGTCTCTATCTGGCATAAGTGTCATTGCACTGCACTACACGTTTCAGGGAAGGTTGGTCATGTTGACCTTTGCTGCCTGCTGTGCATTTGATTGGTGGCTCTGTAGGTGGATAGTGTGCCTTGTTACAACCCAGGCTCAGTGAGCTGGACCAACAGGGAGACCACACAGTTTTAGAGTTATTGAATTCATTTAAAACTAATAAAAGAACATGTAGTCTGTAAATCAGTGGTGGTTGTGTGTGGTGTTGTGGAGAGAGACAGAGAGAGAGAGCCCAGCCTGCCCAGGTGCATGACATCCAATTGGCTCCGCCCCTCCCCACCTGAAGGCAACCTGAGTGGGTAGAGATACAAGGCAACAGGAGGAGCAGTGACACAGTCAGGGGTCATCACAGCCTGAATGTGTGATAGTGAATACAACATATCTATGAACAGTTTCTCGTCTAGGGCAAGCCTTTAAAGTCATAACTTTCTTTTTTAAAAGGTTTATTTTGGGGCTTTTTCTGCCTTTATTGGAGAGACAGGACAGTGGATAGGTGGGATTCTAACCTGGGCCGCCCACTTGTAGGACCAGACTGGACTTGTAGGACCAAGTGTAAAGGGTCCATTGACTTAAAAAGACTGCGCCCTTAATTGCCTTTAGGTTTGGGAATTGAGGCTTAAACTTGCCTGTTGTGCTGTGATGGTTGTGTTTTTGAACATTGAAATTTAACATAAATGGGGCATGTGCACTAACCACTGCGCCACAAGCACCCCAGTCACATATAATGTTCTTGCTTATTATGTGATTATGGAAATTTTGCCATAGTTAAGAGACGAGGGACTGAGGATTTTGTGCTTGTCGCTTATCATGGAACTCTTCTTCCAGCAACTAAGGACCACCTCTCCGGACCACCTGCAGCAAAACTATTAGCTAAACTACAGCTAGCAGGCAGCTGCTAGTTAGAAGTAGTTGTGTGTTTGTGTGTGTGTTGCTGTATCCATAGTTCATGTAATTGAATCTTTTTTTTTTTTTTTTTACCATAATGTATCCAAGCAGTGCTGTAGTCATGTTTTCCCTGACTGAACTTTCTTTAATATATTTTAATCTCCATGTCTTCGTGCAGAATAAACATCTTGATTATCAGAAAAGTAAGCCACTCGTGATCAGATGTTAATACCTCAGCCATTTATTTCTCAAACATAAGAAAGACGGGACTTCTCCAAGGTAAGAAAAATTAACATCGCAATTCAAAATCAAGTGCACTTCAACAATGTCTCATTCTGTTTAGGGAGCCGTCCCTTCCTGCTTGCGTGAAGTGAGATTTACACAAACTGAAAAAACAATCAAAGAATCCATCTTTCCTGTAAGGCTTTGGGTGGGGGGGGTGCTGTGTCCATACCGTTGGGATGTGTTTGTAGAGGTGCCGACGGCGGTGAACAAAACAAACGTGGACATACCCAAAAAAAAAGCAACCAACCAAACATTGCAACAACTCCCTCTGCGACATCTGTAGACGAACAGAAATGAAGGTTTTGTTACAGGGTAAGACGCTGACTGTGTGACGGACTCCTGGAGGAGTCAGGCAGTGGGATTATTTGTGCTAAAAACTCTCTGTGATAAACAGCTTAAAGAAAACAGGATGACACCTCACAGGGGCCAGACAGTATTTGTGAGTAATACGGGTTTGTTCTACTCTCCCAGATGGATTAGGTGTATCACATCACAAATAATATACTTAAGTTCAACCAGGTGAGTTTCCATGACGCACGGCTTTAGCTGTCAAACATCGAGGGTTTTAACGTCTCAAGTTTTTGCCTCCTTCAGCACAGATGGCTTAACTACTCCACATGGAACTACCAATTTGTACAAAAGTCAATTTTATACCCCTCTCCGCCACTAGGCTCTAAGTGAGAACACACTTTTAATGACTTACAATTACTGTCTGGTCCTCGTCTCTCTCAAACATTATCGCTGACTCACCCAAAAACAACACCGATAACGACGCACTGTACTCAGCTCGATGTTAAATACGAAAGAGTCAGTGTTAGTACACTTTAAGGAACTTTTTTAAGTGTTTCCTGTTGTAAAGAAAAATACAAACCAAGCTTCACTTCAAGGGCAAATAAATAAAACACTGTTTCTTTTTGCAATTCAACATCACTAGATCTAATACCAAACGTAGTCCTGTCTGTGTAGAAGAGTCCAGCCATGACAGAAAAATGCAGGATTCACATCTGCCTTAGTGCGTGTTACATACTCAGTATATATAACAGTATACATTAATGGCATTTCACATTGGACATTCTTGATTATACACTGTACTGTACCTGGAGTACAACCCACAAAATGGCGCTGGTACCTTGTAGAACAAAACGAAACTGCTTTAAAGGTCACATATTATCATCTTTTTCATTACGTTTAAATAAGTCTCAAAGCTCCTCATGTGTGTGAAGTTTCTTGTTCTAAATCCACTCTGATCCTGTATTTGATCATGCCTATAAACCCCTCTATTTCAGCCCTGCTCAGAACAGGCTGTTTCTGTGTCTGTACCTTTAAATGCTAATGAGCTGTGTTTGACCACGCCCCCTCTCCGGAAGGAGATGTGGCTCGGGCTTGCTCAATGCCCTATTATTTACAGTCAGAGGGCAGAACAAACACCTAGCTGTGGGAGTGTCACCCACCTGGGGGAGGGACTACTGCCCTTTGTGATGTCATGAAGGGAAAATCTCCAAACGGCCTGTTTGAGCACACATTTTCTGAAAAGTGGAGCAGGCAAAAGACGGAGAGGAAGGACTTTTCTCATCATCTGGGTTTTTTTAGACAGATTAGAGACACATATTAGTGTTAGAGAAACATGCTGAAGTGTATTTTTTTTTATAATATGTGACCTTTAATTTGATTTTACAGGGATTCACATTTCACATGAGGAAGAAAAAGATATCTCAAAACTGGAATTTTTGACCACAAAAAATATGGTTGGATTTTAACTTAACTATGGAGACATAATAATCAGCTGAAAGAGAAGTACAAATTGATTGGTTGAACAGCAGGTGGCAGTGTTTATCTGTTTTCAATGCATAAAAGAGTGAAATAAAAACAGCAGTGTAGCCATCGTAGAAGATTTCTTTTTTTAAGGTCGACTTTGTTGCATCTTTGCTTCTTTCCAAAAAAGAGAGAGAGAGAGTTGAACAAATTTTGTAAAAAGTGTCTAGAAAATGTGACAGAAAACTTCTACCATGGCTAGTCAGGCTGCCACAGAATGATTATCAGACACTTCCTCTGCAGTCAGAGCTGACAAGAATTGTATAAACAAGCAGGTTGGTGTAGGCAGTTGATGCTTTTATAAGAACACACCCTCATCCTGGACCGGTTTGCAGACTTTGTTTTTCTCAATATTCGCCAAATTTTTAAGTTTTACTGTAAGGAAAACTTGACTGGAAATACTGAACAGCTTGGATATGGTTGTTGCTTTTTGTGTATTCAGAAGGAGGGCAGTGTTGTGGAGCAGATTAATGAGTAACCCCAAGAAGCCAATCAAACACATGTACAGAAGGTGTTTTTTTAAAGTAGGGTAAGTCACTTGGCACAGATACTATGTAAGTTTTGCATTCAGAGGTAAGTGGCTCTCTCTGCCTTTAGACGTTAAGTCTTTGTTAACAGGGGAGACTTTATTGTTGTGTGTGTTTGGGGTTCATGCGGATGGGTCGGGTAATGAAGTGTAAGACGTGCACCACCTAAAAATGTTCTCCAGTTGATTTGTCTTGTGTGTACTGCAGAACAGCTTTCTTTTTTTCCAAGATCTGAAACATTTTCAGGTGTATGAGATGACAGGGTCGGAAGTCGATGGGGAAAAAAACAGTGAATGAAGTCAGAATCAGCGCATCCTTGTGTAATGCCCCAGTGAGAGGCATCACAACTCAGAGACCGTTTGAGATCCTCTGCACTCGTTTCTAACTCCCTTTAATGATATCCACCTCTCTTTATTTCTCCTGTCTATGGTCAGCCGGAATCTAAAGCAACACTTGACATTTCAATGCATGTTTTGGGATTACATTTTAAAGGTTGTAGATGATATCATCTACCACCCATTCCATCCAACCCCAGTGTGCTGGCTATTAGGTTTAATACAAATTTGTCATAAGCTGATATAAAAACAAGGCTTTAGTGTCAGCCCCTATTCAAGCAGCTCCCCCTATTGGAGAGTCTTCAGTCTGCTATAAGTGAACGTTGAGATACAAACAAGCAGCACCCTTCAATGTTGAAAAATAAAGCCAATGCAAGGTGCAAAAAACTGCAGTACCTCGAGTGGCCACTTGAGGCTGGCTCCAAAAACCATGGAATCCCCATTAGGTCCCATATTAAAATGCCAATTTTACAGTTTTGCATTATGAGACTAATTTGACTGACAGGCAGACTCGTCTTAGTTTGCCAGGAGGCTAAAACCTGGCGGCTGTTTTTTTTGTTTGGAATACGCTAGCTAGACGATGAGCTAGATGGGTGTTTTACGGCGTCCAAGATATTCATTCAGCCCGACTCAACCCCACCTCTCTGCCTGCTTCTAGATTCAGGTGATGTTTTTAACCCATAGGTAGATTTGTTCTGCAGCCAATAAGAAGATATTAGCCAGAAATTAGTTAAAGTCGAATGTTGGGACGGCCGTCTTTGGTCTTCAAAATGCCTCTCTTCAGAAACCAATGGGTGACATCACTAAGACAACGTCCATGTTTCATATAGTCTATGACTAGCCCCTATTCAACAAACCCACTGAACCACTCCCACTATTGGAGAATCTGCAGTCTGCTAAATGTGACTAAGGTATATGAGGAAATTACATTTTGCAGCCCAAAGCACGACATTGAAATTCAAAGTGTCGCTGAAGAATCCTTTTGTTTTCATCCAAATTAACAAAATCATATCGGTCAGAAACAGAAACGCCTGTGCAGGGAAACAAAAGCTGTAAATGTTTTCCGATGGGATGAGCATGATGACATGTACGCAGGATAAACCAATGACAATCTTATGCTGCCACCTGCACCTCGCCCGTGTCTTATGAACAAACTAGCATTGGCACAGAAACTTAAAAAAATAAAATAAAAATAAAAAAACTGCATGATTACGACAATGATTTAGGCCTCGGTGTCCCGGCTAAGCTTTTAAAATAACCCAGCAACTTTTCCCACAATTGTGATCGGAAAACATCACAATTACACACAACACTTTACACATGTACATTATATTTCAATATGAATGTACATGTTAATAACTGAAAAAACAAGGTATGGAGGAGCTTCTCTGGGAAGCCATACACAAATATAACATGATATATAAAGACTTACTGACGATACCTACACGTTATAGACACATTGCTCGTACATTCATATATGTCAACACTTATGTATATACAGTATACATGTATATATTCATATGTATACAGATATATCAAAGGAGGAATAAATAGTGCCTTTAATGAGGTGAGACAACCTAGTGTACAGTATTATGCCTGGTAATAAATAGTGTCATTAAAATGTATTGTTGCCTACCTGTATATGTAACAACTACAGCCTGAATATTCATACTTAGATGTGATTACATTCTATATATCTGATGGGGTATTGACATATATCGCAATGCTTTTGGGAAAAAAGAGACTTGGTGATTTTGACCCAGTGTGTGCGTTCAGTTATGACACACACACTTAAAGAGGAGTGAGGCATGTTGACATGTTGTGTATGGACCCTCTGACAGACTGTGTTGATGAAACAGTGGAACTGGATACTGTGGCCCGAGTGGCGGTGTCAGGGGACTTGGCAGTGGACGACTCTCTGGTGTGATGACTGGAGGTTTACTCTGCTGGAGGCGGGTGGCATCCTTGACTGTTCAGTGTGACAGTGGTAGAATTTAAAACTCCTCTATCCTCCTACTGGAAAGTTTTAAATGATAATAAATCATGGTTTACAGCAAATCTCTTTTTGCTTTAATTGAAGAAACTCTGTATAAATAAGGTTATCTCCAACAGAAAGTGGTCTTTAGCTCCTTACCTACCCTTCAGTTTTATTTTTTCTTAGTTTGTTTACTTTACACCTCTGCGGCTTGTACCACGAAGCGATTTTCGGTTAGCGGGGTAACTTCAAGGTTAACTTCGGGTTCTCTGTGCTATGAATGTGTCTACAGGGATAGATCACCATGGTAACTTCCTCTAAACACAGCCTGCTCTAGGGCAGGTTATAATCACCATGGTAACAAATGCTGAACACATAGCTTGCTCCAGGGCAGGTTAAGATCACCATGGTAACTTACTCCGAACACATAGCTTGCTCCTGAGCAGGTTGTGGTCACCATGGTAACTTATGCTTCAGGATAAACCTTTGTCAAATGTTGAACTATTTCTTTATCTGCTGATTCATCATAGCAGAACATTATTATTTATAATGCAGGTGGGGGTGGGGGGGGGGCAGTTAGTTCATGAGCCACTTCAGAAAAAGCTCTAATGAACATCCGTCATATCAGCTGCTACATGAACGACCCACGTATAGCTCATTATTTTTAACAAGCTCGACCTTTTGCTGCCGCCTGAGATTCAGCTGCTCAGTGTCTCACGACGACGAACATCTGAATGCTTACCTACCATCAAACTAGAGCGCGCCGGAGAGTCAAGGATGCCGACTGAAATGCTACAGAGAGCTACAGCGTGCATTTGATTGTGAAAATGTGTCTTTGTGCATCAAATATCTGCCCATACAGGTGGAGGAGAGAGAGGGGGATTTTGAGGATCGAGTTGGCGTTTTTTTCCCCGCCTGTCGTCATGGAATGTTTGGGATCGATCTGTTTTCACTTTCTGTGTCCAACATAGCTGACTTAATCTCTCTGCATCATGTGTGACTTTTAGCATCTTAAGAGTTCATTTTTTGAATTTCTCAGCGACACTCCCGGCAGTGGAAAACTATGGAGTGATTGTGCTATAATCTTAAAAATGAGGACAGAGTTTTTTTTACCTTTTTTTCGGACTTGTGGAAATTGAAGGAATGCTTTCAGTATTTCAGCTCGAAAAAACATGATCGAAAAATGCCGAGCCTTCAGGTACAAGGAGCGACGCGTCTGCACGTGAATCTGTGTGGTGTAGAGTTTAGAAACAGGAAAAGTAAGAGTGTGTGTGTGTGTGGTCACGCTCAGACAGGCGTCCCCTCACAGGGCAGCAGTGGCAGACGTGAACAACAAACGGAGTGTGTGAGATCGAGTGTATGCATGAGGGAGGATTATCTACACAGATAAATGCATGTATGTTTGTGTCTCAGAATACCCCTGTTGTCAGATGGGTGCTGGTTTGGTCAGGGCGAAGGTCAGTCTCCGAGAGCGCAGCTGAAAACCTGTGAAAAGGCATGATGGGAGGAGAAGAGGGCAGAGGGTCTCTCTCCCTGCTTTTCATTTGGTCTTTAGCTTGCCCACCTCCCCGTTCAGTTTGCCCTCTTTGGCCAGCTTCTCGTTCAGTTGGCACAGTTGGCGAAGGAAGCCGTCGTTGGGGCCGATCTCTCTCTTGTGCCTCACGGTGGCCACGGCGACCCGGGCGTCCATTTTGTGGCGCAGCATGAGGTAAGCGACGACCATGGTGGGGGAGCGGCTGTAGCCTTCTCTGCAGTGGACGTAAACTTTCCTGGAGGATTAAAACAGAAAAAATTAAAATAAAAGGAGGGCTGTAAGAAGTACAAAACTGGAAAAATGATGACTCCTTGAATAAATTCGGATGTTCCTAGCAATTTATTCCCTGAGGATTAAACTGACATTTAAATTCAGAATAGTCGACTAGTCTCTAAAGGTAAGAAACAATATATCTTGTGCAGTAATTGTTGAGCTGTGTTATCTTTTCAGACCAAGCTGGATCAAAGAGTCTGCAGGTAAATAATGTCAAATTGCTTAGCCCAGTGTGGCTAACATTAGCAATGCTAGCAGAACCATCCTTCAGTTCTCCATCCAGGTTAATGTCCACATGACAGTGCTGGATGAGGTTATGCATTGATCCAGTAGGGTGGTTATATGCCAGTTTACCTGCCCAGTTAGCTTCTCCAAGATGCCGTCCATCCATTGTGCCGGTTTACATCCAGGCAGTAAAACGCGGAGAACAGCCTCGCTAACTGGAGCTACAACACCGGCTAGTGGCGGGTGGCTGCGTTACAGCTTAGACACAACTTTTAACAAACACTACAATGATTTGGTAGCCTATATTGGCTGTCAAATCATGTCAACACATATTTATTTATAAGAGCTATTTCAACTGAATCTTTGAATTGGAGACCTAACTCATCAAATGACCACGGCACAAAACACAACGTCGGCTACAATTCAGTACCAACACATTTCCAACGTATTTGTGCTCGCTCTCTTTGGTTTACGACATCTTTGGGTTATTATTAATTTATTATCTGTTATCTGTTTATTAATATTAATAAACAGAGGGGCCGGGACTCTAGTGGTTAGTGCGCGTGCCTCATTTACGGAGGCTGTAGTCCTCCAAGCAGACGGCCCGGGTTCTAATCCATCCTGTTCCTGTGTCATTCCCTCCCTCATGCGCCCCGATTTCTGAATTTATCCACTTTCCTGTCTATAAATAAAGGCCCCAGTAAAACCTAAAAAGAAAAAAGAATAAACATCTGGGGAGTTGGTACTTTTTGATTACGATCATTAAACTAACAGATTTTTTTTGTTAAAAAACAACATGGTATAGCAAATAAATCATGCAGCATTTCTGCTTTGTGTGTTTGCACTCACACTTTAATAGAACCAAAAGAAAATGGAGCATCGGAAGAAAAATGAGGAGGGTAAAAAAAAAACAACTAACACAGACAACAAAGCAAAAACAGTTAAGAGAGTTGTGGGAACACATGCTGGGACCAAACTTGCCTGCGAAGCATCTTTTAGTGCCATGAGATGCAAATACAGAGACCTGACCTCTGCTGCAGAAAAAGTCAATCATCTTCACTGCAGAAACATCCTACAGCGAACATGCAGCCTGAAATCAATCAGTGCCGTCGCTACGTGTAGATTACATGTTTGTAAGTGTAGATTACAATATTTGTTTTTGTGTTTCGACTGTCATGTCTTCATCTTTATCTGTGCACTTGTTTAGTTTTTTTGCCCTCTAAGATGTGTCTCTATCCGACTTACACTTTCATCACCGTCAGTCTGAAAACCTCAGGAGGACTCTTAACTTGGCAGCGTTCACAGAGCAGCTGATGTGTGCCGGGCTCGGGTCTAATCTGCTGAGTCTGCACTTTATTTGAAACCCAACACCTCCCTCTGTCCCCTCTCCAGGTGATATCCCCCACACAACTCTCCCCCCCCTCCTCCCCTCCCTCGTCCCTCCTCTGTTCTCCATCCAGCACCGTCTGCTGCCAATGAAACGACCTCTTCAATTCCTAATCACCCTGCCTGCCACGGATCAATGTTGATTCTTCTGTATCCTCTTGTTCGACACGCAGGATTTTCTGGCTCCGGACTCGACTCCCTTTTCTCACTCAATCACTCGCTCGCTTGTGAGGCTGTCACTTCATATTTTAAGCTCAAATTCTCGATTAAACCTGGAAACATTAAATATTTAAACTGGCATGACACAACAACAACGTGACCTCTTTAAATCCACTATCAGATTACCCATTGACCTATTGGTAAACCGAGCCAGCAGATACAGATACACACACATATTGTACAAAGGTCACTCGCTAGCAAAGCATCACACAGCACAGCTGGTCCAAAGTGCTGAACAGCACTTTAAAAATCAACCACAGCGTCTTTTTTAAGTCATGAGATCCCCCCCACCCCACCTCATTTTCCGACAGTAAAAACTTGAAATGTCTCAGAAACATGACTGGTGCTAGGATCCTGATATCTTCTTGAAATTTCAAGGAGTGCATTTGTGAAAACATCTTCAGCTACTGAGCAACATCTGTTCCTTAAAAACATTTAAGAGCATTAGATTTTCGGATTTCTGAACCCTCAGCGTGAGTACAGCACCCTTAGCGAGCTGATCATGTAAGAATTATTCCAAGAAAAGGAAACCCAAAACACCTTAGGCAGTTTTTTCAGACGGCCTGGTACTAGAGGTTTCAAGCAGGACACACTCAGCTCTCTCTGCGAGATCAGGGAAGGCCCTTTGCTCAGACTCAGACACGTTTGGTATGTAGAAACTGATTGGCCTGCACAGATTCTTGATCCACACACAGTTTAGAAACCTTTGGGATGATTTTTAATCCCGAACACAAGTCAGGCAATCTCATCAGATATCTGTGGCCAACCTGCTCTTGTGACGGATATGATTCAAGACATAATCCAAAATGTGGAACACCGCCCAGAATGAAGCAGCTGTTATATCATGAGGGAGGGGAAGGGGGTCCAACTTCATATTAATACTCATAGCTTGAGAATTAGATGCCTAACAAGCTTATAGAGGTGTTGTGCCCATGAACTTTTAGCCATTTCTTGAACAATTTTAATACAATTTTCAGCTTTAATTGTTTAAAAAGCATAATTTGCAAGTGACACTTCAAAGAGTCTATGTGGAGCGTTTTTTCACTGCAGAGTCAGGTGATAATGCTCCGCCTGTTCATCATTTAGAGCAACATTTTTAACCTCACACACAGTCATTGATCCATCATGAATTTAAAGAGCATTGATTGGGTGAAGGCGCTGATCATTTTGCTGCTAGTTTGTAGCAGTAATATTCATTTTGGAGTATGCAGCGTGAGCTTTTAAAACATGCCGTACAGTCCCTTACACTGACCTCATGCGTCATCACAGCAGACACAGGGGAACAATGCATCGATGCAGCTCCTCATTAAAATCTGAGACCTGTGACCTTTTCAGAAGCCGGCAGGAAGAGGTCACGAAATGTCAAAGAGAATGTTACACAATCGCACAATGTCAAAATACAACAGCAGGCCGAGGGCAGACGAGAGAGAGAGACACTGTTTATGCTCCTTTATCCTTCACCCTCTGCTGCTCCTCTCCTCCACAGTCCTTGTTAAAAGTTCACTCCGGATTCTCCAGCATCTGTGCAAAACTGCCTGAGAAATAAGACGCTGTTTATGTGTCACAGCTGACAATAAATCCATGCCAGAGAATACAAGGTTCATCACACTAATTAAACACATCCCCCCCCCCCCATGTGCAGTGACAAATTGACTCAAATTAGTTGCAGGTTTGCAGAGAGGTTGGAAAGGATTTATGTTTGTCGAGGATGGGCAGAGGCCACCTGGGATTTAATGTTTTCTTCCATCATCATGTTCGGTTTTCCCAAAAAAGCACGAGCGAACAAGTGAAACTTTACACCTTAAATTTTTGGACCATTTGTAATGAATCTTTGAATTACATTAATTGTTTAATCCTGAGGGTGGATTTTGGTGCAGCAGGTGTGTTATGCATGGAATATTTCCAACACGCTGACGTCAGCACACCTGATCTGATAATGGAAAATGGAGCAGGACTCAGGAGTGTATCAGATTTAGCCGCAGATTAATTTGTGTCTTGTCTTTCTTCACTTAAAAGATCCGCAGTGATAAGGCATATCGTGGTTGAATCATGGGACTCTTATCCTCTGTCAGACGAGCTACAAAAGAGGCTTGTTTTCATGAGTCCACCTGTGGAAACAAACGACTCCAAAGCTGGAGCCTCTGAAGTAAGACAGACACTTTGCTCTCTTCTACCTTACTGGGATTTTCTTAAGACAAACTCTCAGTTCTCTTGGGGTTTAGGAGCATTTGCATTTGCTGATAACAAGTGGTATGACACCTGCTGTTTACTAAGTAGTTTTAGTTTCAACAATAATTAATTGAAGGCCCACAATGCCGGTTGAATGTTGTTCTAAGCTGTAATGCAGCTACCCACCACTAGGGGCTGTAGCTCTGGTTAATGGGCCGTGTGCTCTCTCTGCCCTACTGCCTGGATGTATATGGAGGACGAGATCTGACAGAAGTACAAATAAATAAATGTATAAATAAATACTGGAATAAATAAAATAATCAATAAATAAATCAATAAATAATTAATTGCGTGAATAAATAAATAAAAACTGGTAAATAAATGGGACATAAATAATTAAATGTCTTAAATTTATTTCTACATTTATTTATTTCCACATTTATTTATTTCTACATTTATTTGTTTCTACATTTACTCATTTCTACATTTATTTATTTCTACATTTCTGTGTCCGTATGCTAATGAGGTAGGAGGGACTAACGTCAGTCTCATTCAGGATTGGTCAACTGAGCGATCCAGTCAGATCTATTCCTAGCGAGACTTCCTGTTGACATTAAGCAGACTAGCATGGCTTCAACCGGGAGAGCGCTGGCAGACCTGCTGCGGGAAGTTGCTGACCAGCTTGAGAACTGCTCGTAAGTCATTCGCTAAAACTCTGCCATCACTTCTTCAGCTAGCTGTCAGCATCGAATGGAAGTAGTAGATTTGGATCATCACACTCCAATCCTGAATTTATTTATTCACGCATTTATTTATTTATTTATTTATTATTTTATTTATTTATTCCAGTATTTATTTATACATTTATTTATTTATTTATTTATACTTCTGTCAGATCTCGTCCTCCATTGATGTAAACCAGCACAGTGAATGGATGGCATCTCATAGGCGCAGGGCAGGGCGGGCATTTCACCGCTCAACTGGGGGTGCAGGTGGCATAGTGGTTGGGTTGCGCTGAATGTACAGAGGCTGTGGTCCTTCAAGAAAGCTTGCCAGGGTTCAAGTCCGAATAGACTGTATTTAAATAGCCTTTAAATTAGTTTCTATGGAAAATACTGGTAATTATTTTCTGTGGATTGATGACTATTTATGAGAACTTTCCCAAACAAGTAATCATGTGATGCAAAGTTCATTAAAAAAAAAAAAACAGATTTTATGTGCTTGAAAAATCAAATGAGCAGTCAGGAACCTTAAACAGAAAAGGGCAGGAACGAAATCAAATGTGACACGAGATGAGTTTCTGCACGTCACAAAATAAACTCACCTTTGCCGTTATTGTGTGCTAGGGCCTTGTCGATAAAATCAGCCCCTTCCTCAAAGAAGGCACTGAGGCTGAACTGCTCTGTGTCGTTGGCCTGGATGCCGTGGTACGTGATGCCCGTTCCGGCGTAGAACTCCATGCTCGTGTTGACGTGCATGAAGGAGGTTCCCTCCGCCACGTTGAGCACGTGCGTCACTCCGAGTTTCTGCAGACGCATTGCATTCTGGGCGACGAACCTGGGTAGGAAGGTTGAATGAGATTCAGGATCAAAGTGGAAAAATACTTTAATGTGATGACTTCTGCAAGCCGCTGATGTCTGTGAGCGGAGCTTTTAAACACTTTACACACTCCTAAAAGCTTCTAGAGTGCCCCTGTTCATGGTGACATAAAACTTCTCTGTTCTCTGAAATGATGAATGAACAGCAGCAGAACGGGACATCCAAGATAAATAACAGCACTAATAATACCGCCTGACATTTACAGCAAAGAACTGCGTCAGCAAAATGTATTTTAAGTTGTATTATGACAATGTAGGTTGCACTTTCCATAACGACTCTGCATGTGTTTCCACTCTGCATGTGTTTAAGTACATGCTGTGCTGCAGTATCACCACTTCTCTGGATGAAATGCCAAACAACATATACGTCTAGAGAAGTGTAGTCTGACAAGTTGTTGTGCTTATTTTTGTTGTTGAAGTATGGAAAAATTATATTCAGTATATATACAGTTAATCTCAAATAAAGTCCCATCTGTAGGGGCTTGGGTTGGGAACCGGAAATTGGCTGGTAGCTGGAGAGGTGCCTGACCACTCGCTGTGGGCAGCCCCCCTCACTCTGACATCTCTCCATTAGTGCATGTCCTATAAGATCCTGTCTGTGTTTGTAAGCTTGTTTTTCCTCCTATCTGAGCATTTGCAAGGCTCAACGGCGCCCCCTATAAATGTCAATCACATACAACATGTACAAAACTTGGCAGGCATATGCATAGTGCCCAGGCTGTGGTATTGAAACAGGTATTAGTATTAGAGCCCGACCGATAAATCAGCCAGCCGATAATATCGGCCGATATTAACATATCATGTGACTATCTGTATCGGCTAATTTGATCTCTGATATGCCGATATAACCTGGTTTATTCAATTAAAAAGCGCCTTTGTTATTCTGGCAAATAAAGGATTTGGTTCAACTGTTCTTCATTGAAAATCTTTTTGACAAGTGTATTATAAAAGCATATGTTATTAAGACAGACACTCTGCTCATATTTGACCACACAGCCACAGTTTCTATAATGAATGCCCACTCGTATTCACACTGTGATAGCAGAACTTCATGTTCTACGTGTTATTTTGTTAAGATCTGTGTGAGTACAGAGATAAACATGCTGCACAGAAACAAGCAGGGTGAAGAGTGAGGCAGCAGTGGAGGGGGGGAAAGGAGAAAGTGAAACATCTAAAGAGCTTCATCTTGATCTCTTTATTCTCAGCCTGCTGCACTCCAGTAGCTTCAACTCCATCTTCATCTGCTCGACCTGCAGGAAACAATAAATCTGCTCCCTTCGGCTCTTCTGTACTTTGTTTGTTAGAACTACAATCCCGAACATTAGGGCCTTTTATTCAAAACAAGCCCACACAGCAAACAAACCTCAACAAAGGAATACAGAGCTTTGGCCGCTCCCGCCTGCTTGGCTCCATGCCTGAGTCCACTGTTACGATCCAACCTGGCCAAAGGCTCTGATCATTGATTGTAGATAAACGCCTCTTTGTGTTTGTTATATTAAACTTTTATGGAACATTTAGTGGCACTAATTAGCTCTACAGAATGTATGCTTCCAAAACAAATACTGCACCAGATTACAGCTAATAGAGACTTTTGGGATATAAAACAAATTATACCAAAGTCTTGAGGTAGGCGTGATTTTTAATATAAGCAAAACATTTATATTGTTTTTAGTAGAGCCCGACCGATTCATCTGACAGCCGATAATATCAGCAGATATTAGCACATCAAGCAAATATCAGTATCAGCTAATTGTATGCCAGATATGCACCAATATTACTACATTTATTCACCACTCAAATAGCATTTCATTTGAGTTTCATTGTATTACACCAGCAGTTCTCTTTCTGGCTGTGACCAGCAGAGTGTGCTTTATAAATTTATACAAACATCATCACTCTCCAGAGTGTCAACAGGTGATGACCGTACATGATCAGTTACTTTCCAGTTGAGTGAGTTCAAAGAGTAATCATCAATAGTGACAATCTTGTCTTCATTATTTATCTTTTCTAAGTGTTTGATAACTACATTTGAAGGATCAATGCAACAAATGTGTATATTTATCTCTACAGATCTAAGACAGATATCGGCCAATATATCGGTATCTGATTTTTCTCTCTCTCTAATCGGTATCGGCCCCAAAATCTCATATCAGTCGGGCCCTATTTTAAGTTCTACAAAAAGCTTAAAATGCCTTGTCTTTAGTGCAGAAATGTAAATAAGATGTCACATCTTAAACAGCACTTGTGTCTTTATAAGTATGATACTTAAGTATAAGTATTTCAAGCATCTTATCATTCTCATCCTTTTAATCTTAAAATTATAGCATTAGATATTTATGTTCTGACTTATCCAGAAATGTGTTTTTTTAATGTAGGAAAATGTTACTTTAACTTGGAAACCACACATTAATATTTTAGAAAAATGATGACTAAACATTTTCTAATGTACAGTATCTAGGCTGTTTATTTATTTCAAAACACTACCTGTATCTCCCCGATACAGATTGCCCGATTAGGGTGTAACTTTAACATTTTCAAATATATTAAGAGAAGAGGCTTCTGTGTCTTTGTGTAAGAATTTAAAGTTGAACAGGTCTGTGGGTTTCTTCAATCAAAGTTAAGTTTTCTCGCTCTGTTGTAATATTTTCCACATTATAAGGCTTATTTTCCTGTTTTTGAGAGCTTACTTTTTGCTGTTGCTTCGCCTTCATCCCGTGCCAAGAATCATAAATCTCCATGTAAAATGCTCGGCCTGACAGCGCTACGTGCTCAGAGTCAATACGAGGCTGGTGGGGCGAAGGCTAGGTGACCCTGGGCAGCTCCCATGAGGGTGTGACTGCAAAGCCCCCCCCCTCTGCAAAAACTAATAAAAAAAATAAAAATTCCAGCCTGTCACCATTTTTGCTTTACGGTGTTTGCAGGAGGGATGAAGCAGGCCATCTGTTTGTTTGTCAGGGCAGAGGCTCCTTCAGACGTGAAAAATCAAGTCACATTATTCCCGCTTTTATTCAGAGTAAATTAGATTTCAGCTAAACCTTGTTGGATATAAATGATTGAGTAGAATTCTTACAGTAAATGCTTACCTGCACAGTATGAGCACTTACAATGCAACTTTCCTAAAGTACCAAAGCAGCATTGTTCACATTCACTGTACTTTTTCTACACAACAGAATGCAGAGAGCAGCACACCGGGTTGAATCGAGTTCACAGCCGATGGCTTTATTCCTATTTACCTGCCCGGTCCCAGCCTCCTCACCCTGAGATCTGCAGTCCCACAGCATCCATTATTAAAGAGCGGCTTCACAAAGAGCCAAAGTGTTCCTCAAAGCAAACGGCCACACCTTAAGTGTGTCCCTGAGCAGCACACGGCGGTTTCATAGTGCTGACTACGACTGATCTGAGAACAGCGTAAGAGGTTGTAAAGTACAATCATAATCCATTTAGGGGAAGGGAACATTTGACTGATGGGTTCAACAAAGTGAGGTTACTGACTTCACCTACAGATTTTTCATTTTCAAAACTCTGGTGTATTATTGGAGTGGTACCAGTTTTGTTTTCATCCCCAGATATCTGTTTTCTAATGATTTGCAAATTGCAGAAAGTATAACGCTTGATAAGATTGATTTGAACTCTACGTTGGCCCTAAATAAGACAGAAAAATATCATTCTGTAAAACACTGGATTAGCAGTTGGCTTTTCAGGGGATTAAAAGGTTATTCGTTTAATTACATTTCGGGCTGCCTCTTAAAAGTTTAGGATTCAACTTATAAGATGACTTAAACTTTGCTTGTCAAATCTATACAGCTTTGTTTTAAGTGTGTCAATATACACCAATGTGGGATTTTTGGGGCCGATACTGATACCGATACCGGGGAGGAAAAATTTCAGAAACCGATGTATCTGCCGATATCTTTATTAGGTCTATCTTTGATCTTTAGAGATACATATAGCTATACACACATTTATTGTGTTGATCCCTCAAATGCAGTTATCAAACACTTGTGGAAAAGATTTATAATGAAGACAAGATGGTCACTCAACTGGAAAATAACTGTGCATGTACGTGCATCACCGCCCGACACTCTGGAGAGTGATGAAGCTTGTTGTAATCAATATATATAAGCGCTCTCGGCTGGTGACAAAGAACTGCTCTTTGTACAATGAAACTCAAATTAAATACTATTTGATGATTGAATAAATCTAGTAATATCAGCGTATATCAGATAAAATTAGCCGATGCCGATAGTCAGGTAAAATGCTAATATCGGCCGATATTATCGGCTGGCTGATTTATTGGTCGGGCTCTAATTAAGATGCGTCACAATATCTGATGAAATGAAGATTATAAAATGTTCCTACAAAGGTTTAGTGGAGTATTAATGGAAGTATTCACTAGACTTTGGTGGGACATCTTATAGTGCTTCCTTCTTAAAGTCTTCTCACTGCATCGAACAACAAATGCTCAAATGAAAAAAGAAACGAGTATCACAACCTCTACACTGAACATTCAAATCCATTTCAACAGACAAATGTTGGAGTCTTGTGCAGCCTTCACATAGTATGTTCAGTACCCAGGGAGTAATCCTATTTTTATAGTTACAGAACTGAAAATGTTGCTTTAAACTATAGATTGGAGCCTAAAATGGGTCATGCGCCCAATTCCCTCAGGGCTGCCATTCTGAGACATGTTAATGAATTTCTTCAAGGACAAAGCTATCTCTTTCCTCCTTGAGTCGTTCGTGACCTGAAGAGCGAGTCGACTGCACCACACCGAGTAAATCTGAGGACACAATTTAAGTCGTAACAGGGAACAACTAATAGGAAACATCAGCAGAAAAGGCTTGGTGGGTCCCAGTGGTGGAAATAGTGGACGAGCTGCAGGCTTTCATCAACAATCGATACCACCTCGCCCTGCCCGAGCCATTTGTACTATCACATTGCATTACACTGCCTTTTCAATTTGTTCGCTGTGATACAGTAAGACAATTAACTAATTATCTCACTACAAATGGTAAAACTCATTGGGCATTATTTCCTCATTAGAAAGTAAAATATGTTCTTCAAAAGAGAAAACAAAAGAGCTCAGAGTCCGTCTTTCAATTCTACAGTAAACTGTGTGATCTGCTTAAGAAAGAACAAAACTGGCAGCCCTTCGATTGGAGACTTGGCCGAGCAGATTGGCATGTTTGGATTGATTCTGTTGTAGCACCGAGGTACAGTAATGTGCTTGTTTTCTGCCCCCCTCCTCCTCCTCCTCCTCCTCCTCCTCCTCCTCCTCCTCTACCTCCTCTTCCCTCTTGGCAGCTACTGGAGCCATATGATGGACGGCACAGAGACTCATCCCTAAATCTGTTCCCTTCCATGAATCCATAAAAGTGAGATTAAGAGCTGCTCTGTAAAAGCTTCTATTACATTACAGCACAGCAGCATGCATTTGAAAAAATCCTGTTGTTGTTGTTTCTCCTCCACTGAGTGTTCCAACAAACTTGACATTTGAAACCTTAAAATGACTTCTGATATCTATTAAATCCAGGATGTTTCCTAATGTAATATCTAGAAACCTTGCAGGCTACATAAGAAATAGCTTTGCCACTTTGCCAAGCGACTAAATCAAATTTGCTCCGTGTTTCTGATCTCATATGTGGCACATCATTTAATTTCTGGCTGGGTTTCCCAACATGATGCCTCAATTGATCAACTGCAAGCTTCCAATAAAAGAGCTTGGTAAAAAAAACAAAAAACATAATTGCCACCAGTGGGCAACTACTGCTCTATTCATGATTCATCAATTTACTGTACAGGGGCAGAACTAACAAGGAGCTAACCTTGAGAAACACAAGTGAAAACCATACAACTTCATTTTAGGATATTCATGATTCAAGTTGTAGTTTGTACTTCACTACAAACCAAATCAGCTAATAATTTAGGCTGAATATGGTTGCCAAAGTGTAAGATACTTCGATTCTAACGACTACATCTATTACTTTAGACAGGTGCATAAGAGAGCAGGAACTCTATCAAAAATTGCAGGCCAACTCCTGCACACTGTCCAAATTGCTCAGAAACATTGGCAACATTTCCGTACCTAAACCTAGACCGTGTGCAGGAGTTTGCCTGCAATTTGAGAAAACTGAAAACAAGAAATTACCTAAGACTTTTACTTTTGTTGACTGGTACCAAAACATGTATTGATATCGTTTGATCGTATCAAAGTTTAACTTTCTGGTACCTTGACGACCCTAGGATGATTAGTTTTAGAAATTCTGCGAAAACACTCCTACTGCCATATTAAAGCTCACAACACAAGATTCAGATACTTAAAAACCACATCATTATAAATGTTGAAAAACCAAACCTGAATGACAATTTCTTTAATTTTGAAAAATCTTTCATCTGAAATGTTAATCGACGCTGGAAAAATCAAACAATCTGCATCTGACATGATCAAAATGTCAGCTTGAAATGACTCAGACTGCATTACAGAATGAAATATTATATGAAGATTATTGTAAAAAAGTGATATTTTGGTTTACTTTGTAGTGTTGTGGTTATTATTTGTTCAGTTCTGTCTCATCATTTTTAATTCCATTGCACATCCTGCATTTGAGCGGGACATACGAAGGCCTATCAGGTTCTTGACTCTTGATTAAAAACAGCATTCATTAATGAATGTATTTGTTGTGCAGGCACGTTGAACATGTCATATAAAATCTGTAAATGAGGAAGCAGGAAGCAGGAATCGGCTTTACTGGAACACTGAGCTGTAAATTCATGAAGAGTCGGCATGTTCATTACAAAGCCGATTGCATCAAGTCAACCAATAACCCTGGATTTATGTTATGGCCTCTGACATCTTTAATATATATAGAGTACATATACACAGTATGTCTGTATGCTGAGCAGTTTCTTCTACTTTAAACAGGTTATAGTGCTGGATTTAAATCACATAGTAGCTATTTTTCACATGAATAAATGTCAGTAGTGTCCATCATAATGTTCCAAGAGTTAGCGTATATTCAGCAGACTTAAAGGTTAGCTTTGTAAAGTTAGCAACATCATTTATTTCTAGATTTAACTAGACTCTTTGTCACAATAAATAACTTTAATTTCATTGTTCACGTTAGCTGTTGAAGTGAAGGCTAAGCAAGCTAACTAACGCCTCAATTCAGACAGCATGTTACATATAAAAACAACCTTTAGCTTAGCTACGCGGCAACGACCAAGATGTGGTCGTTCAAAATGTAAGCCAATCAGTGATTTACAAACTACTACCTCTTAAATTTCCTTGACAAATAAGCCTTAGGAGTTTTGATAAATTAGCTTACAATATGCACTCAAAATGGTACTTGGCTACATTAGCTAGTGGGTGTAGCGAGAAAACTAGCGTGCAAAACCAAACAAAGGTTCCACAAATCCAACTAGCCTGTGAATATTAGCTTTACTCCAACTTGCTTGTCATTTTGTGTTCTGTTTGCTCTGTGTTTGACTGTGTTGTGGTCGATTGTTTGTTGATGTTCTGACTTTTGTCTAAGCTAACATTAGCTAAGTGTTGGCACACTGTTGTCACCAAACGTGAGAACAGCTGAGGAAAGGTGCCTTATTACCTCAGAGCTCACTTACTCCTCAGGGTTTTAATGGAAAAAAAACACCCAGAGAACCTTGACGTACAAATGAGTCTGTCACAGGCAATCGAGAAAGACGGAAGGTCCAATCTATTCACACATTGGGAGTACACAACTATGAATACATGTCCAGATTAGTCTGTCAACTGGTTTATTGATTGAGCGACTAATTGTTTGCCGCCTAAAATAAAACAAATTACCTTCCTTGTGCTATCACAATTAGCTCCCCATTGTTGTACAAGTTTAACAACAGGTGACAATTCGCCTAATGATTTTAATCAATAGTAATAAAAAGCCCTAAGAGACATACAGAAACATTATTTTCAGTCATAACAAGTAGGCCGGTTGTTTTCTTGAGCGGTCAACTTATTTATTTCATCTCAGGATAACAATTCTGGTTTTCCTGGTAAAAAGAGTTAATTTCTTGTGATCTTGAGAAAACCACTGCTCGTTGTGCTCCAGAAAACCAGCACTGTTATCCTGACATAATAAAATAAATATGTCGGGTTCTCGAGAGAAAAAAACGGAATGGGCTCCTTTCAAATGGGAAAACGGGGTATAGGCTAATAACATGTTTGGGTGCATGTCCTCTTAGGCCTTCCGTAAAAATCTCAAATTTATTGTTAAGTTGATCGCTCTATAAACGCCAGAAGATGCTGAAATATTAAACAGCAAAATGCCAAGAAATATCTTGTTTTGATAACAACCTAACTTAATGATGATGGTCTAGATATTATTGATGATGATGATGGTAATGACGATGGTTTTTGTTTGATAACGACGACTTATAAGATGGTTTCTATACTGATTAGAGCTCTCAAGAACTGCCCTCAATGTTGTGCTTTGCCTCTGGTCACTTCCTGTCAGCACCTGTGTGTCCAATCAGACTCAAGCTGATCGTTTGCTCTTACTGACATTGTTCCCTTTTTTTCTAGATCCTTGCTTGTGTTGTACTTACTCTCTGATGTACGTCGCTTTGGAGAAAAGCGTCTGCTAAGTGAATTGTAGAATTGATATTTGATCACTTGATCAATTGATGAAGATATTCAGCTAATGCTCATGGAAGGAGTAGACACTAAACAGCACAACACATTCCAATTTAATGGAGAATTTTGACTTATTTAAGGAGTAACCAAACCAAACAGATTGCCATGTTATCAAATAGGTAGGTCTATTATTTTGAAACCTTTATTGTGGGCTTTTTACAAGCATATGCTGGAGAGAATATCCTACTGCAAATTTGGCTTTACAACAGGTTTCTTTACTGAGTAGTGATGAAAAACAGGTTATGTGTGTTTTATGTTTTAAAAACTCACACTATTAGATGCTGAGCTTGGAGCCTATACCTATAATTTCACCTTTGTCGTGATTATAGGTCATATACGTGTAAAGATGTGTCTGGTCTACCTCAAAAATATTTCTCCTTCCAGCATCTTCCCTCTCTCACGACTCCAACACTGACGCGCTCCTCTTTGTTCTGCAGAAGAGACCGCCTGTTGTTTTTTGTTCTAGCAGTTTATGAATGGAGGCGATAAAGACATGGTTTTTTTTAGGATGTGGTATAGCCTTAAATTGTCAACCTGCAGCCTGCTCTGATCGTGATGGGAGCGGCTCGATGAGGAAGACGTGATTACTCGGCAGTGACACTAATGATGGAGGGATTCACTGAGTAATAATAAAAAAACAACACGTCCTGTGTCCCGCCCTGCCACACATTGGAACATCAAGGTTTAGGATTTATCTGCTTTTTTAAATGGAAACAATAATCGATTGTGCCACCATGTGTGTGCTACTATTGTGTTGCACTGTTACACAATATCCACCTGTCTGGCTGCTGAGGCACGTTGACGCCACTGCTTTGTCGAGCAATTTGTTGACAACAACAGGCTGTCGCTTTGTCCATTAGTGACAGACAGAGACACCAAAACATGACAAACAAACACGCCATGAATGCGTGCGTAATGCCCGACATGTCATTTGGAGCGTCTAAAAATAAAGATAACCTGTCCCTACCTGTCACCGACAGAAAGCATTATGGATGAGTTGATAAATGACTCACGCATTGCCGATGTAAATTCTGGGGAACACCTCGTTGAAATGTTGTGTCGGTAGGCTGTAATAGCCGCTGCCATTGGACAGGAGATCGTTGAGTTGTTGCACGGTAACCTCGCCGCCTGACGCCGGGACATCAGCCGGTGGTTGCTGCTGCTGCTGCTGCTGTTGTTTAGTAGGACTCAGGTGTTTCTTCATGGCGCTTCTTCTTCTTCTTCTTCTTCTTCTACTTCTTCTTCTTCTTCTCAACTTTGTGTTAGATGATTACAGTCAGCCTTAGACTCGTGAGCCTCGTCCGGTTATTCAGCTGCATTTTACCTGTCTTCTCGTCTACAAGGTGTCTGATGATGATGATGAGGCGGGAGGGGAGCTCTACAGTTTTTCTTTATCCACGTCAAGCACAGAGCAGTATTCAAATGGAGTTCCCGTCAAACCTTTCAAAATAAGAGAGATAGCGAGAGCGATGGTTTGTGTATTCCTGGACAGTGTTTAACATTTGAAATTCCCTCTTGGATTAATAGTCTCCAACATGTATCTGTCCGAATAAAGCTGAGGGTCATCTGAATGAATATTGTGAGAGGTAGGCTGTAGCATAGAATAAAATAGAACCACTTTTTTGTCATTGTCTACCATGTACAAAAAACATTTTGAGTGCAATTGAGGGTCATCGATGCAACAATTAAAGAATAGATTGCAAAAAACACAGACCTTAGTAAACAAAAACAACTCATCAATAAAACAGCACAGCAGTAATATAAACAAATCAGCAGCACAAGAGGTGTAGGAGGGTGCAACATGTGCAAATCTTACAATGTGCAATAATGAAAAGGCAGAGAAGGCTGTTATGGTGGACATTAAGGGGACTGATTGAGAATATGGCACTGTAACAATTTCTCAACCTAGGCAGGCATGCAGAAGCATACTTAAGGGAAAAATAACTGGGCCTAGTATGGAACCTTGTGGTACTCCACAGGGGATAAGTGCAGAAAAACATGACTTGTTTTTCATTCAACGAATTAAAGGTCTGTCTTAAATTTTATCTTATTGGCTCAATCTTAATGGAAAATATTTAAATTGTAAAAGAAATAGGCTATAGTAAAAATAATGGTTAAATTAGCAGTATAAAACAATTAGAGAAATAATAAATGTGAGAGTTAAAAAGCTGTTAGGAAATTGACTAATTTATGGTCCAAACGATCCTGATAAAGCACATAATTAAAATGTTATAGATATTGCATATCTATTATATTTTATTTTCAGTCTCATCTATGCTTTATTTCATTACACCAAAGTCTGTTTTTCTTTGTTGCCCATTTAAATGAATCAACACTAGCTGATGCTTTTATCTTAAAGATAAAATGGTTCAACTTCCTGGATGATTCTGTCTGACTGTAGCTAACTTAACAGCGCCTCCTCTCGCCTCCACTATCTCCAGCAGACACACCCCACAGGCAGTCAGCAGACACTCAGGAGACACTGGAGCTGGACCCGAGGAGGACAGTAGTGACACACTCCAACAAGAGGGGAGAGTGCTGCCTTCAAGTGCTGCTCGTAACATCCTATAACTCAATCCTTCAGTGCCATTTGGAAAGGTTTCATAATCATAACAAAAACAGGAAGCAAATCATAAGTTTGTCGAGTCACTGCTTTACAGATTAGCTGTTAGTAGATCATTTTAAACATTGAGTTTGGTTTTGAGTCCGGCTGATGATTTTTTTTTTTGCTTAGACTCCAATAAGTTTTCTTTTGGTTTTCTAATTGGGCATACAGTACATGTGGCAAATTAGGCAATGCGGTGACCAAAGCAGCCGTAACATCCAAACACTTATTGCCCTTAAATGAGGGTTCATTTTTTAAACAACAAATACTCACTCTCTATGCCCTGCTAAACATAACATGCATATGTTTTGCCATATGAAAACTAATGTTTGTCAGTGAAATTGAAGGGGAATTTTCCATGTGCGAGTGAAAAAAGAGAAGGAAAAAGGCAGAAGACGAGTAAGCGTAGGGGCTCTGGCAGACATAATGGTGATGAACGCTGGTTGGAGGGGCCCCCCAATTAATTTTTGCTAAGGGCCCCATTAGAATCTAGAATCACCACTGAGTACAATGCATGGGGTGTTTGTAGGTTCAAGATGACTCCAGATCAAAAATATATATTTAATGATTACATCTCACATTGATGTATTCACTCTGGCCACCACTAGATGTCAGCACAGGCCTTTAGTCAGAGATTTAGTCGGCCTTATGGAGGTGACGTTGCTGCACATAGAAATACTAATTTATGTCACATTAATGTAACACTGAAAACACAACGTTTATGTACAGTATAATGGCAAATTTGGTCTTTTCGACAACAACAAAGCAACATTCAAAATCAAACGATGAGAGTGGTTTTTTTTACGCAGGATGGAATACATTCTCAGAAATACAGTTTCTTTGGAGTTTATTGAACAAACTGGCTTACAGTCAATTATCAGCGGTGCCCTCATGTTTCTTTCTGTGTTTTACACTCTGCATTTCCTGGTAATAAACCTCATCTTACAGGTGTGACCGGTTGTGTTATTCTGCTGGACAATGGAGGGTTTGTGTCTGTCTTGGATGTTTACGGTGCAGGAAGAACGCCACAACAGCCGGAGTTTCTTTCACTCTGGATCTCTTTCCTTTTTTACTCTGGTGTATAATCAAAAGTATACAATTAGCATTGATATGCAACTGCAAGGACTCACATCTTCAGCTCAGGAGTGATTCCTTTTGCCTTAACAGTATTTTTACATAACATCATGAAATCATATCAATTAAAAACTTTTTAGCACAAGTGATCGTATAGTGGAATTATACATTGTCTTTGAGTTCCAAATAAGAGCATTTTCAATTTTTCTCTGTGTACAAATATACCAAAATCATTTTAACAAGTAACCATCATTGAAGTGCATTTTATAGCTTTTTACAATTATCACAAACAACATGGATTTACAGTTCACTTTTTATGTAAAACTAATTTAACCGTGCCTACCTGGTGTATAATCAAAAACACACAATCAGCATTGATATGCAACTGCAAGGACCCACATCTGTACAACACAAAAACACGCACACAAGAGCATTAATGTGAGCATTACGGCCAAGAGGAAGCAGCTAACCGGTAAGCTAACTAGCATTAGCTCAGCATGTAAACAAACTGAAACTAACTCTTAAATTAAAATAAACATTTCTACACATAAATGTCTTAAACTCTAACAGTACATTATAAACAGGTTCATGGACAAACTACATGTTACCTAAAGTTTTTGGAACAGTTTTAAAACATTAAACCAAGACATGTTACAAAAAAAAGTTAAAACTTTTATTTTTGACTGGGTGTGTATGTGACCTCTTGGGTGTCTGCTGCCAGCCTCAAGTGGACACTCTGTGAACTGCAGGATTTTTGCACTCCCACTTATAGGCTTCATTTCTCAACACTGGAGGTTTCACCTCGGTTCTGTTGTCCATATTTTCCGTCTTTTTGTGACGAATTTCCAGGCTTACTTTTAAGGGAGAAGAGATTTAAATCTTAAAAGTCTTCTTAGTTAAGCAACGGTTAAAGACAAATGTAGATGTTTAGTATGCAGAAAACTGGTTGTTGCCATCAGTACTTGTTGTGATTGCAACAACCACAAGATGGAGCCACATTTCTATGAAATGATCAGATCTGTGCCACAATTAAACACATGAAACTGTGATTTTAGTGAGGAACAGGGAGGCTTATTAAAAGTAGAAAATGTATGTGATAGTTTAAATAGTTAAAATAAAAAGTAAGTAGGAAATGAGTTGTTAACATTCTGAGTTTAATTCAAGTGGTCATACAAAAGAGTTGGGGGGGGGGGGGTGAGGGAGTTAAAGCTGTTCCCATCTGTAACCCCTTTTCACAGGTCCATAAAGTAGGTTAATGAGTCACAACAATTCAGGTGCAGTCAGTCATGTTCAGCCAGCAGGCACGCCACAGATTCATCTCAACCAGTGAACACAACATGAGAGGTGATGCATTCTAACCACTGCTGATTAAAAAAAAGATTGTACTGCACGACATCTCATCTACAAATATTTGGTTCATATTTTATTCCATGGATTCATTTCTGGAAATGTGTGTTTTCAAATGAGTTGAATATTTTGCAGGTGAGCTGAACCTCTCTCTCGCTGAAGACCCCTCTTGTTTAAAGCTGCTTTTTCATCATTTATTTTAATAAATGTCTCCCAAAAACTGTTTTGATTACATTACACTGCACTCTTACATTTTTTGACTATAAAGTTTCTTTTGAGCTGTTTTTATTTGATCTTCTTTCTGCTTTTTAATGGCATGTATAAATCATTTTTTAATAGCCCTCTTTAATGTTTTTTGTTGCCCTTTGTCGTGATGCTTAGAATCACTTTTGTTGCTCACAGTGCTCTGTGCATAACTTGTCTTCCCTACAGGATTTTCAAATGGATGCAGTGTTTGCATGTTATTTAACTGGACCTAGAAGATGACATACTTTTGAGAACAGCATACATTAACCCAACAAGCCAATTGTTTGTTTGTTTGTTTGTTTGTTTATTTTGCTGGGAGATTTGGCGACTTCATCAGATCAGATCCATCCAGGTCAGGGTCAGCTGACTTGTTTTAACGTGATACAGGACTGTACAAATAAATGCCTCGACATGATGACTCTGATGCTCTTGACCCACTTCACTTAAAAGCCCTATATGCCAGTCATCTTTTCTTTTTTTTTTACGTTTCCATGGTAACATCAGGAGATGCAATGCAATACCATGGCAACAACAGATCTTGTGGTACAAAATTTGAGCTCCCTGTTGTGCATACACCTGTGTGTGTGTGTGTATGTGTGAATATTTGTGCACTGTGTTTTCATTGTATCGCAGCCCAGCACTTTGCAATGCTTTTAAATGGATTGAACATGAAACTGATTCATTTCTCGACCAGACACACTTTCATTTCAAGCAATGAGCAGCTGTAAAGTGTTTCCAACTCTTTCTATTCTTATTTCTTACATTCCTGCAAATTGATTTTCCAATAGATCCATTGAAACTTAGCTCGATCCATCCCAAGCATTATAACTGTCTTATCATAATTATTGAAAATATAAGCTTTTGATTGCTCTACATAAGTATAATTTATTTATTCTTTACAAATCCAAAATCTCAGGATTAAAATGTAAGAAGTCGGTCAAATAATGTATTTATCTGCTTAAACCCAAATTGATTGTCTTGTTACTTAGTTAGCCTACTAAAAGGAAGTTTTTTACATCATATCATGTTAAAAACCGGTTAAACCACAGTATAATATTTACTCACTGTATATGAACCTCTAGGTTCAAGGATCAGGAAGCTAGCACAGCATA